TAGAAGAAACTGGTCACTTCTCGCCAAATGACCCAAACCGCAGAATTCAGAATGTGATGAAAGTGAGAATATATGAAAAGCAGAAAGAGAAAGCTCCTTGCCCTTTGTTAGAATAACTCTGAGGTAAGACATACATTTTTAAAGAAAAACTTTCTTGTAAGGTTGAGTCAGACCTTGTTGGCTGACCCTCTTTTGTATGACATCCTTCCTTTATGATTCTACACTCTGATGATAAAAAGTAACTAATGAAATATATATGCCATAAGGGACAGTTGGCTGATGGGGCACTTAGTCCTGGAGTAACCTTGAACCTAATACAAACCAGCAAGTTTGAAGCCTACTGCTCATGATGAGAGATGTTAATAGAGACTCAGCAGGAAAAAACAACAAACTGTTCAGTTCAACAGAAATATCTATCTATTCATTTTGTACCATGGAATTTTGGTTAAGTTCTTACCTTGCATGCAATATTATTTTAAGGAAGATATTTAACCTCCTGGTACCTCTATCTCATCACTGTGAGAAAATGGAAAAAATATTTCATAATCCACGGTGTAGTTATAAACATTTAGAAAATAACATATATAGCTTTTATGTCTAGTAGGTGCTCCTGATCCAAGTAGAATACCTTATTAAGGGTGGTATAGTACAGACACAGACTCCTGTGTCAGACTGAGATCAGATACCAGCTTTGTTGCTTACTGCTGTGACCTTGAGGAAGCTACATAGCCATTTTATAATTCTTAATAAATTTCAACTACTGTTATTAGTCAATAAAAATCAGTTCCTTACTCTTAAAAAATTATCTCCCAGCAAATCTGCTGCAAATGCTACTTGTTGTGGAGATCAGCACTCACCAGCTCTCACACCTGTCAGCTTACCTAGAGCCAGGAAAGAGGGTAAGTAGCATGTATCCTGAAATGACAAATTATATGGTGCCTGCATTGAAATAATGTCCTACCAACTTTGATGGGCTGTTACACGTACAAACCAACACACAATTCGCTCAAAAATGGATAAATCAACATACAAATTGCTCCCACAACATAAAAGTACTCCTCAGTGTGCCATCATATGCTCAGTGCAACTACTAATGAGTTGCCACCAATATTTCCATGTGTACCTTCTAACATTCAGTATGAAAGTGTTGTCTCAAACCAACCCTCAGTGTACTATGACACAGGCTTACAAAACCCCAGTAAACTTATAAGTGGACTGTCATACTAACCAATCATTATGATGGCATATGAACTTGCTACCTTAAATGAACTGTCATCAGAGTTCATTTGAACTACATCTTTACTCAGAAAAACAAATCAACATCATAATCTCACTCAACTTCTTTCCTCTTTCTTAAACATATCATCATATCCATGTTTACCCCATTTCCTTTATTGTCAAGCAATATGGGTGTCTCTCCGCCATTTAGTGAAGATTATAGTCACAAAGAAAAGCAAAAACAGCAAGGGAAAAAACACTTCTATATGAGTTTTGGATTACAGAGAGGACAACAGAAATCATTTTTAAGAATGTGATTGTGGAATAAAGAGTAACATTCTTGTCTTAAACTTTAGAAGATCTCGTTGTGGAGTCCATAACTTTAAAAATGTTATACCTACAGGTAGATTCAGTTCAGTTTACAGTTTCAATTTTAAATTATATTTCATTTTCACAGTAGACATTTTAATCACATACTTAATAATCAAGGTCTTGCAACTTGGTAAGCATATGAAGTTTTTATGCTATACTGTACAACAGAGCTTATTTATAGGTTTTAACCATAAATTATATCCTGGTAAATTTTCGTTTTAGTTTGGGGCATCGAGATCAAAGGAAACAAAGAGTATGCATCAAACAAAACTATCTAGTTTGAAACATCTTAATTTAGTTTAAGTAAGTTTCCTGAACAGACATTTTCTGAAGAACAGAAAACAGTCACATTTCTGATTTTATATTTTCTTTCTGTATGTTCAAGGGAAACTCCTGCATTTGAATACTTGTTTTGTTCTTCAAGATTTGATCCATCTCTTTGTCTTGCTCTTCCATAACTCGCCTCCCTGTGCGAGTCCCCTTCTCCCTTAGGTCACTCTCACTTACTTTGCAGTCCCCTCTGCTATATTCCCATCTTCCTTTGCCAACCAAACTTTGAGATAATATTCCTCTTACTTTCTCTACCCTGCCATTCCCATTCACTCACCGACAATCTGAGAACGGACCTTTCAAACCCATGACTCTGCTAAATACACCATGAAAAAGCCACCAACAAACTCTTCATCACAACATGAATAAGTTCCTTTCCTGAAGTCATCTTACTGAACTTCTTCACAATACTCATTATTGATGATCAGTTGTCTTTCTTAAAACTACATTCATGAGTTTCCATGAGAATTGCACTCACCTATTATTTCTCACACACATCTGTCCCGTTCATCTCTGTTACATATGGGCATTTCTTATTTTGTCTACTCTTTTAACATTGGTATTTTGTCTTGATTTGGTGCTTTTCCAATCACACACTCTTCTTGAGCAATCTGATCCAAACTCATGTCATTAGTACTGAACATCTGTATTTTTCTCCTAAATCTTTTTCTGTATTTTTCCCCTACGTGTTCCTCTGCTATTTTACCTAAGTGCACTGCTGTCTGTTATTAAGTCTGTCCTCCACATTAGAAAGGAGAACAGTAATTGTGTCTCATTTACTCCAGTGTACCAGTCCCTTTCTGTAAGTTTCAGATTAATGATCTAACTCCTTGTTGAACATGCTATTATGGCTTGAATTGTCTCCCAAAAAGAAGTTGAAGTACTAATCCTCTGTGAATATGACCACATTTAAAAATAAGGTCTTTGAGGTTAATCAAGTTAAGATGAGGTAATTAGAGTAGACCATAACAATATGACTAATGTCCTTGTGGAATTGGGAAATTTGAACACAGAAACAGATGCATACAGAGGAAAGATGGTGTGAGGATTCATGGAGAAGTCCTTCTGCAAGCCAGGGAACATCTGAGGCTGCCAAAAGCTAAAAGAGAAGCATAGAACAGATTCTTCTTCACAATCCTGAGAAGGAACTGACCCTGTAAACACCTAGATTTGGGTCTTCTAGAAGTGTAAGACAATATATTACTGTTATGTAAGCCATCCAGTTTGTGGCAATTTGTTAGTGCAGCCCCAGAAAACTAATATGCATGACCACTTGATTATCTAATTCTCACCACTCACACAAAGTCAAATCATTTTTTTCCCCTTGAAAAGGGCTAATCTTCCAGTATTTTCTAGTTTAGTTGTTTGGACATTTCTTCATCTCAGTTCTTCCTTCCCCAGCTTAGTCCTTAGTATTTCTGTGGAGACCGCTGCACAGATGACTATTTAATTAGTCTTTCTGATCTCAAAGTAGGTCAGAGTGTTCTATCTAGAGAAAAAAAAATCTGCCCATGTCAGTATCGCTATGATTCCTACCTTATCACTTGTAGGATACACTCAAACACTCTAACATGGCAAACAGGACCTCCATACTCTGGTCACACCAACTTCCTTAAACTCATCTTCTATCCTTTCCTAACTTATTACGCAGGTAGGTAATTCCCTTCAAAATCCACCCTGCTTTTTTGTTTTCATGCTTTTTGCACAAACTGGGCTCCAGTGTAAGAAACTTTGCCATAACATTCTCTATTGAATATTTAGTTCGGGAATTACTTACAGAAGGAGATCTTCGTTGTGCCCTTCAGTTTGGGACTGAAATCCTTCATCTACTCTACCATATGCCCTACATGTTCCTGTGTTATTATACCTAAGACTGTGTACTCCTGTCTATTATTAGGTCTGTCTTCCACATTAGAAAGGAGAACGGTAATTGTGTCTCATTTACTCCAGTGTCCCAGATCCCAGATTCTGGACCATAACAAAAACTCAGTAATTGTTGTTGAATTTTTTCATGCTTGGCCCTCCATATTCTTGCCCTGATTTTTCACTCAGAACTATTGTCTTACCACCACCTTCATGTAAAATGATTTGATGCCTCTAATATCTAATCTACAAGTTGGACTTAAGAAGATCTTCATGGAAATCAGCATGGGAGTTGATCCAGAACATAGTCCAGGACCCTCTGAACATGCTCTGACACTTATAAATCATCATTTGGCAAAAATATTGATCCATTAATTTTTTGAGCCTTAAATATTTAACCACTGAATTAGCTCAATACTAATAGAAGAGAGACAACAGGTTAATTTGGAGAAAGTATTAAAAGAGACAATTTACGCAGGATCGGGCAGATGGAAAAACACAAAGAATTCTGATAAAGTCCAGAAGATAGCAAAATAAAGGCAAAGCAAGAGATCAGGGAAAGAGAAGTTACCAAAACATGTAGACAGGACTGTCTGCCAAGTGCTCAGAACTGCAGTAGAAAGATTGGCCAACTGTAGACTCCATAGGAGAGACAATCAGAGATAAATTCTCCCAGGCCTCATCTGTCTCTATTGAAAATCCACCAGAAGTCAGTAGACAAAGGACTGTGAAATGCAATTCGTGCAGGTCAGTCTTTTGGGATCTTAGCATAAGGATGAAGAATGGAACATGTACAGGAAAGAGCACATAGATGATAGCCAACCTGTAAATATGAATTAATATTACTTTACACAAAATAGAAAAATAGCTGACCTAGTGAGATTGCCACTCTGGATTAAGAGTTTTAAGACATTGTTTCTTGTAGCAAGAAATGGAACCTAACATATTCTCTCCCACCCTTCTTAATTCAATGTTAATCACATGAAGATGAAAACTTTGTTCTTATTTATTATTTATTGGAACTTGTATTCATCTTATAGTTTCCTTGAAAAGAAGAAAGAATCAAAGAATGAACTGATCTCATATTTGAAAATAGCCACAGCAAACAAAATTATTTTCATCACCAAAGCCTTCTCATCTATGAAATAAAGTGCCTAATGACTTTTGCATTCAGGGTGGAATAAATAAGAAAGAAAAATAACATGGGACTAAAAACTTTAAGTAGTGCTTTTATGGTTATATGCATAGATGAAGTCATTATCCTTTGCCTTCATAAATGAGTGAGTTTCCTCTCTTTCACAGTCTTGGACATCTACTTCTCCAAATACAAGGTAGAGGACCAATCCTAATATGTTAATGGAAAACACAAAAAGAAGCAAAAAGAAGACACTCCTCCACCCAAACTCAGGATCCTGGGGACACAAAACTCTGAGTAAATATTCCTCTTTTCACTTTTTTTCTGTGAAACATCTTATTAATAGTTCAGACAACAACATTCATTAGTGGATTTCCATAAAGAAATTCATTTTCTGAAAGTGACTTCATAGTTACATGAAAAGAAGGATTTCAAAATATATTCAGAATGTTCTCAATAAGAGAGGTTTGTGAACCTTTGTGATTAATCTACAGAACTGCATTTATCACTATTTATCAAAATGCCATACATTTTCTCTTTTGCATGAGTCTTGACTACATAAGTTAGGATAAGAATGATTCCAAAATTCTTCTTGCATTTTGATTGCATATGAAAACATTATGGGCTTTTGAGCTAGAGGTTTAAGTTACAATAATTCTGATTGTACATTCTCTTAGTGGAAAGCATTGTTCTACCAGAGTTTTCAATTTAATCATTAGAAAATGAAAATAATAATGCTGGATTTTCACAATTGCTATGAGAATCAAGATTTGATGAGTTTACTGCATATGAAATACTTATTATGATACTTGTATGGATCAGACACTTAAAAATGTTTGCTTTCATTGTCCCTTTTTTTTTGGTGTTTATGCCAATGATAATTTCAAAGTGTTGCAGAAGACGTGGTAACTCGGCATCTATTCTTGGAATCATCATTCCACAAAACTTATGTGGCTGTGTGATTTCAGTTTCAAACAATGTAATTTACCAGAAGATCACTAGTTAGTTCTTTGTTTGGTTCTGGGATAAATCAGAGTTGAGATCACAAAAATTTTGCTTTATATTTTTCTTTACCAGATTCATCTTTCTAACAAAGTGACTCTCAATTTAACTTTATTTCCAGTATTTGAATACATTATTTATTCTATCACCTCTATAAATGGATTTGACATGCATTTTAAAAGTCATTCTTGACAGAAAAAAACTCTACCTTACTGTGGAGAAATCCACTGACAATGGGCTTCAGATAGCTGCCTTGTGTGCAAGTCCCCTTGAGACTCCTATGAGTAAACTGGAATGTCTGTGGGTGACAGGACTAGGTCCAGAGATGTTTGAAAGTATCCTTCAGCCTGATTCATGTGTGAATCCAAAACTCATCTATATTTTTACAATTATATAATTTGATTATCATATGAAAAACGACTTGTACAATGTACATAGATTCCATAAGAAGCACTAAGACAAATCAATACCCCCTCCCCAAAATTCTTGAACAAAAAATGGCCATAGGTTCATCTGTTGTCTTTGTCTATGATTTATTATTTTCCAAAGTTAGCAGTTCCCAGAAAGCTACAGGCCAAATCTTTTCCAGAAAATGAACAGTAGTGGAGATGAGAGACCTACATTGGAACAATCTCTAAGGCATTGATATAAAATCCCTGACTGACCCCCCCCAAAAAAGGTTAGACCACCAGAGAGCGTCAGAAGAGTAATTGGTGATATAGCTGGAATTGAGGTAGGGCAGGGCCACAGTGGATGCTGAAGGGTGATTTCCTAGGAAATGAATAACAGACAAATGAAACAGTGAGATACATTCTTTGGTTATTGCTTGCCTTGTCAATTATTCGGCCCTCAATCTCTGTTCTAACCTAGAATTGTGGCAATTTTCTTCATGGTGATGAGTTAAAATTATAGGTCAGAAGGAATCTGCCATATGTCCTCCTAGAATACCAGTGACTCCGTCAAAAACAAAAGAAAAAACAAAACAAAAAAGGAGTTCATTCTGAGGGAAAAAGACAGAGTAAATTACCATAATAAAGACAGTGAGGCCACAATCATAGTTAATTAATAATCATACTAACATTCTGATATACTACATTCTTTGAGAAAATAGTAATCTCTTAAATCATATTCCCCAAGAAAATTTAATAGCATGAGTGTTAAACATTAGATTACTTTTGCTAATAAGAAACACATTTCTCTATATGGATAATTTGTGAAGACAGAGTAATTGGTGAGTCATGAAAACAAGAGAAAGGGATAGAGGGACATATACTTATATCTCTGATGTTAACATTGTAGACAGAGCTGATTTATTTGTGTGTATGCAGTCAGTGTGTTAACTAACAAATAATGCCTGAAACTGCAAAAATAAAGACCAAAGAGGTAGTGATCTGAGCATAGCTCTGATGAAAAGAGACTGCTTAGAAGAACTGACCTGAAAACAAATGTATTATTAGTCAGAACAGTAAGATTTGAGAGATATTCACACACTCTTAGTCATCCTCAGAAAATCAGATGCTGACACAAGATCTCTGGAAAGGGTTGGAATCCTTATGTGTACCTGTTGGTCCAAGAAAGATATGATATATTTTTTTCTAAGATCCTTTCCATGGGTGAGACATGGGGTCATCATAAACCACAACATACCAGAGAAGGCAGCAGACAGTCAATGTTTCCAATGCAAGCACAGAGTAAAGTTGGTAATGGGGCTGTCTTCTGCCTTTTGTGTAAATTTATTTCACTTGAAACATTTTCTGGTATAAGTCTTGGGAAAAGCTCTTGTTCATTATATCTTCTATCCATTTCTTGAAAATCCACATAAATATTACAACTTTCTAGCACCAATTTTATGTTTCTTGTTTGTGTATGTAGAAATTACAGACATTACCTACATACTCAGGATTGAGGATGAACATTCATTTAAATTTTGAGATTAAATTCCTAGAAGGATTTTTGCATTTGAAAATTGAAATCCACAAACTATGAAAAATAAAGTGAAAAACTGTGAAAAAACAAATGAGCACATATTCAAATAATCTGTACTTGTCCATCCTGGAAAGATGGCCACTTAAAGCAGAAATCTCATTCTCTCTTCCCCAGACCCTGTGTAAATTGTCCAGAGAATATAAAACATGAAGAAATCAGCATGTGTAATTGAAATTTGGTTATGGAACTGTTCAGAAATTGAAATGTGACAAAAATTGGCTAGATGAGATTGAGTTGTACAAGAGTTTCAAAGGTTAGCTCTTTACTCAGCTGCTTAAAAAGGCTTGCATTGTCACATTGAGTGAATAAAAGGTATCCTGGCAGAATAGCTAAACAATCTAATTTGAAGAGCAAATACAATGTATTGGCCTGATCTCAGATTCCTTTACAAAAAAAAAAAAAACTTCAGGCAGAATAATTCTTTAGAACTTTCTCCATTCCCTTCATTTTCTCCCTCATGTATAGAAAAGTGACGTAGATCATTGAGTTTAGGTAAATAAATGGAGCATGCGTAGCTTGCATCTTCTCCAGCCTTCCTGGATTCTGTCTACTCTCCTATCATACAGCTACTTAAGCAGAGCAAGCCTGGGTTTGTCCAGTTCACCCTAAGCCTGGATAGGAAAATCTATTCAATTCAGGAGAAATAGCAGGAAACGGGATTGTTCAATCTTCTAAGCCATATCCTTCACTCCAGATTGTATATCTTCAATCAAAAATACTTATAGATTCCCCCAATATCAGGCCCTGGAAGTGTAGCAGCAAACAAAGCAGACAGATAGCCTTGTGTCTGGGGACCTCACATTCCAGACAGAAGCACAAAATATAAAACACAAAATAGTAAATAAAAGAATGTATTAGAAGTGATAGGTGCTGTGGAGAAAATAAAGCAAGAAACGACAAAGTCCTAATGACATACCAGAAACTAAGTCATGCAGATATATGGGGAAATATCATACTTAGTAGAGGGAGCAGTTCTGAGTCTGGATGAAAAGTTCTGATGTGCTCAAAGAATCATAGAGATGAGTATGACAGAGTGGAAAAAGCCAGAAGTATAAGAGCAGATATAAGGGAAGAGAGGTAACGGAACCTGAAGCTTTCAAGGCTGTGTGGGCCACTGCAGGTACTTCGGCTTTTACTTTGGGTGAGATGGGGACCCCTGAAAGATTTTGAGCAGAAGTGGGACATGACATGACTTACATTTTGAAAGGATCTCTTTGGCTGCAAATTTGAGGTGAAAAACGATAGGGAGGAAGTACACTTAAGAAGTTATTGCAATAATCCAGAAGAGAAGTGACATCAGCTTGGACTAGGACAGTGGCAATAGATGTTATCAGATTCCAGACAAATCCCAGCATGGGAAAAACACCAAATAGGAGTTTCAACTTTATCGATGGGCAGAGGTCAAGAAATGGGGAATTGGAGAAGTTCTTGTTCTAAATAATTAGAAGAATGAAGTTGTGCCTCACTGGGAAGGAAGGGAGTTCTGTGAAAGGAGCCTGTTTGGGAGGTGGAGTGATTAGGAGCTTATTGTTAGACATGTTAAAACAGAGATGCCTCTTAGGCATCTTAGAAGGTGTTAATAATGTTTTTGGATATACAACTCTAGAATTTGGAAGAGAGGTAGGAGTTGAGGCATAACATTGGAAGCTAATAACCTACAAAGGATACTCAAGGCTATGAAAATTAGAAAATGGAAATAAATGGAGAAGAGAGTCACTCTGAGGCTCTCCAATACTTGGAGATTGGATAGAGGGAGAGGAACCAGCAACAGAAAATAGAAAGGAATGAGTAGTTTATAGGAAGTAAACCTGGAAAGTATGGTGTCCTGGAAGTTAAAGAAACAAAATTTCAGGGAAGAGGAAATCAGTCGGTGTGTCAGATGTTCCTGATAGATCACATAACATGATGCCTGGTAATTAACTCATTAAATCCTCACTACAACACTATGAGGCAGTTCTTACTACCGTCTCCATTTCACAGAATAAACACAGGAACAGATTTCCACCCACAATGTTGCTCAGGTGTCTATGCTCTTAACCACTGTGTCCCGAGTACATATGGCTTTTGTTTTGTCCCAGATGATTTCATGAAATAGCTCTGCTACCACTCAAGTGCATCCAGCTGTAAGATTTATGCAGCTATATGATGTGGGAGAAGAGGGCACTCTCTGCATCTGCAAGAAATGCTCAAACTTCAAAGAAGGAGATGCTTGAGCTGAATGAAAAAGGCTTCCTCTCAAGGTTATGCTGTCTTCTGTTTATGAAGTACAAGTCACTGTATTGAAAGGGGATAGAAGGAGAACTTTGGAGGAAACTGAAAAATATACGCTAATTAGAGTGAGAAACTCAAATAGAATATCTTTGCAAAGGCTTTTCCTTCTGATTCAGCGCTGATGGTGACTTCCTAAGTAAATCAAATCAAGTAATAATTTAGAGTTCTTGTGGCCTCTGATTTCCCACAAGATGCTTTGGGATTCTAGATACCAAAGGCTACTGAAAAGGATATCAACAAACAAAGAGATTAATGGTTTCTTCTTTTTTTTTAATATATGAAGAGGTTGAATACTTGCCACATGGCATTGCGAAAAGATTAACTAGAAAGATATTTAAAAGGCATAGCCTGGGCTTTGTATGTTGGCTCATGCTTGTAACCCCAACACTTTTAGAAGCCGAAGTGAAGGGATTACTTTAACCCTGAGCTGGAGAACCTGTACACACACATACACACACACACACACACACACACACACACACACACACACACACACACGCACACACACACTTAAAAAGGCTTAGTAATGTGCTTGCTAGGTATTAAGTGTTTCCTATAGGTGACTATATGTGTTCCTAAAAGTGTTTTGTTATCTGTGTCCATTTCGATGAATTGTTCCAGTTGTATCTCTTGAATAGACTGGTGTCATTGCTTTGCTGTCTGTTAAATATTTTCAGTGGTAATCCCTAGATAGATGAGAATGTATGAGTGTGTATAGTATGACAGAGTGTGAATTAATAAACACCGGAGGTTGTACTATTTAAGCTCTGAAAAGAGTCTATTGACACCATGAAGTCATGGACTTTTGAAACAAGAGTTTATATTACTGAATTCAATATCACTCTAATCAGAATCCAGGAAGCCTGTTTTTTTAGCTAGACGTGACAGACAGACCTTAAGGTGACGTGCTATGTTTTGAATCTGTAGAGAATCAGGTACTCACAAATGTTATTAGTGCTCTATGAAGAGTAATTTGACAGTGCATATAAAAGCTTATAGTGGATTTACCCCTTGACTCAGCAACCTAACATACAGAAATTTACTCCACAGAAATAGTTGCACAGATGTGTGACAAATGAACAAGATTTTCAACAGAGTATTGTTCAAAGATTGGAACCAAACCAAATATTGCTCAGTAAGGTTTTTGTGTACTAATATGAAAAGATCTCCATGGTATATAAGTGGCAAAACTCTAGTACAAAAATCATAGCAGCATATACAAAGTATAATGCTTTATATAAAAAGAAGTTGGGAAAATCAGAATATACATTCATGTAAGCTTGCATTTTCATAAATAAACAATGGAAGAATATAGATTAAATTTAAAGATATAACTGGAACAAGCTGAGAGAACAGGAGAGCTTAGGAAAGGAATGAAATAAATCATTCTACCTTCCTACATAGATTTAAAATGTTGAATCTTATTATTATTAATTAAACCTCTAATATTAAATTATGTTAAAAATGCAATGAAAAGAAGACCATCCTTTTTTGTTGTCGTTTTTGTTTTGGTTTTTTGTGTGTTTTTTTTAATTGGAGTCTCACTCTGTCGCCCAGACTGGAGTGCAGTGACTCCCGGCCACAGCAGCCTCGACCTGCTGGGCTCCGGCGATCCTTCCACCTCAGTCTTCCAAATAACTGGAACTACAGGCGTGCGCTACCACACTTGGCTAGTTTTTTGATTTGTTGTAGAGATGAGGTCTCGCCAAGTTGCCCATGTGGGTCTCGAACCCTCGGGCTCAGGTAATTCACTCGCCTCGGCCTCCCAAAGCTCTGGGGTTACAGGCTGAGCCACCGAGCCTGGCATCCTTTGTTATATATAATCCAAACAGTGAAAAGAACTTAGCTCTCACATAGTTCAAGTGGTTCATTTTATAGATAGGTAAATCAAAGCTGTTAAGATTAGGTGATTTAGTGAGAAAATACCCAGAGAGCAACCGAAATCCAAATGTCTTGACTTCCTAGACTACAAAGCTCTGCTATTTGGTCACAATTTGTCTTTCCATTCATTCCTTCCTTCCTCTCCTCCTCAGCCTTGTTCTCTGAGGGAGGGAAGCCCATATAGCCTCATAACATAGACAAATCATTACCAGTGATTGCCAGCCTCAGGATGTCTACAGCTTAGCACCGGCCTCCTGATTGTTTTCCCCTGATTTGAATTCTGACTTGAGATTCTGGTCTCATTGCTTGCTTCTTCTCCTCTCCTTTTTAAGAAGATAAAGAGCCATTCCTTTCTGGGATTTCTGATCTCAGGAACCTCCAGCCTGCCTGAATGTACGCCTCTCAGACTGCTGCTAAGAATGCAGATTTGTGTTGGTTACTTAGCACATTTTTGCCAGAGGAGCACAGTCAAGATTAGAGAAGTGTTTTTGGAGTACAAAGAGTGAGAGTGTAATGGTAACTCAACTGCCTTGTGAATTGTCACTAAAAGGCTATGACATCTGACATACACTTAGCCATGTTTAAGGTATTCATCTAGCAGGAATTGAAAGTTCCTGTAAGACAATCAGAGCATCTGTGTATTTTGTGAAAATTCAGAGAGTGGTAAACATATGTGCACTTTTCTCAATATGTTATCCACAAATTTTTATATAAGCCTTATTTGGGACTTGACATTCTCTTAATAATGTCTTATATCCAGCTTATACTCTTTGTGTTTCTCTGTCACAATTTTCTAAAAGGCAGTATTTGTCTTGTTAATCCTTTATTGTTTATGCTGCCAGCAGTGTCTTGCATGCAAACATTGACTGAACTGAGTATAAAATGTATGTGTAGGGCTCTTAAAAATATAACATTCTATGTGAAGCAGACCTAGAACCATACTGCTCTGATCCATTAAGTAATAAACCGTATTGAGATAAATCAGAATCCAAGTTAACCAGATTGCATTTTCTACATGGAGGTCCTGGGCTTTATCTCCTGAGTTTGTGGCCATGGGAGAGACAGAGGATTCTATAATAAAGCATTTAAACAAAATATCAGAATGAACTTTCCCTTTAAGGTTATGATCAAATCCTTCCCACTTTAGGCCACTGTAGTCTCTTTATTTCTGTGATTTTTAAAAATATCATTATTTTATACACCAACATACACATCGGCTCTGTACTTCAAGCCAGAGCTGATGTGTATATTGGTATACAAAATAATGATATTTTTAAAAATCACAGAAATAAAGAGACTACAGTGGCCCAAAGTGGTAAGGATTTGATCATAACCTTAAAGGGAAGAGGCCAGCTTTGCAAACAATCCTGGAAGAAAGTACACATCAATATCCCCTCCATCAGAATACAAGAGCCCACTCTACCACACTCCTTACCTCTGAGACATCTTGGTGGACTTAGAGAAATGGCAGGGGAGTCCCTCAGTATATCTGTTGAGCCAGTGAACATACAATGTTTCTCTTTTCACCTGAGCTGATAAAGGGTCGATTTGCTGGACACCATAATGAGAAGAAACCAGAGAATACAGCAGGCATAGTCATTCCACCTAGAAAAAAGAGGATCCAGCTAACACTGTATTGAAGTTCTTCTCTAGGTTTGACTCTGCCCTGAGATGATTCCTGTGGCTGACAGAATGGCTGGCCCCAGTACTCCACTTTTCCCTCTCAGTGCTCTATCTTAGGTAGAGGGCATTTCCTACCTCTTGACAATGGCTTTGGTAATGTAGCTTGCTCTTGCCAATGGCATGGGGCAGTTCCAAGCCTAGGCATTAAGAAGCACTGCATCTTCCTTCCTTCCTTCCTTCCTTCCTTCCTTCCTTCCTTCCTTCCTTCCTTCCTTCCTTCCTTCCTTCCTTCCTTCCTTCCACTTTTCCTCTTGAGCCTTGATCACTGCCATGAAAAGAACATGTTCCAGTTAATCCACTGATGACAGACACAGACTGCAGAGTCACCCAGGTGTCCCACGAAGCTGTAAGAATAAGTAGCTATTGTTATAGAACATTGGGTTTAGGGAGGTTTTGAAATGCACTATTATTGAGGCTATGGCACATTGTTACAAGTTATTAAAGTATTTGTCCCATGTGCTTGAAAATGCTCTCCATGTTCATATACCAGGGAGCATAGCTTCTGCTAGTCATGCTAGACCAGCTTGGCAGAGTTCTTTTCATCATTAAACCTTTCCATGTCTACCTCTTGTCTTTCTCAAACACTTAGCAGTTAACAGCAGTACATTATTATGTGCAATGGATTCCCAAGACAATCTCTAGACATGAAATAAAATTAGTCCTCAGCAAATGAATTTTATCTAATGTATACATTGTTTCACAGTTGGGGAACTCAACATTATCGGTATTGAGTTGGAAATATGGTTTATCTTAAAATTTCCTATTTAAAATCTTAAGAAAGTCTTAGAATTCTGTTCATTTTCAACATCTTATAAGAAATTGTTCTGAGTTCTTTTGGGTCAACTTAAAATCAGGAAAAAAATGTTATGACACCCTTAACGTTATAAGGTTGCACTCTCAGGCTACTGAAACTTAAATGTCATTTTTATATGCCAGCAAGATTCACAGCATGGTTGGCTCTGAACCTGATAAACTTTAGCTGTATAAATATTCCTATTTTAGGATCTAGTTAACCACAGACAATTGTATTACAGAAATCATACCTAGCATTGTCTGTCATTAAAGAAAATTCTGAGATTTGAAAAACACAAACTCACCAAAGTCATAGAGGCCACTGACAAGGAGAACAATGAAGGTTCCCAACAATGACCCTGAACAGAAGATGCAAGGACGTTCTGAGTGAGAAGGCTAGTCTTGGGATTCTATGTGCCTCCTGTGGAGCTGAGAAGTGCGGTAAATGATGGTATGAGCTTTAATTCAGACAACCTGGGCTCAAATCCTGATCCTTTACTCAGTAGCTATGTGATCCTGGACAAGTCCATTTGTATTTCAAATTCTTTATGTGTGAAATGGAAATAATTCTATATAGCTGACCTATAAGATTGTTCTGAGGCTAAAATGAAATTAATATGTGCAAAATGCAAGAATGGTTGGTGTATAGTAAATATTAAGTTATGATTAAGAAAGACAATATAGGGTAGTTATATAAAGCAAGGACTATGAAGACAGAGTAATTGGTATGTAAGGCCTTGCCTTGGTTGAGTACTCTTGGATAGGGCATATAAGGGGAGGGGAGGGTATCAGTTACCTGATCCAGCAATGGTGGTGATTTGATTTGACTCCTCTCTGTAAGGGTGTGGAGGGAACCCATTTGATCCAAACTGAATATTGACCTGTTAATACCATAACCTGGGGGAGGGGGTTTCATTATTGGATATCTGAGGTCATTCTGGAACTTATTTTGCACTTATTCTCTGAAAACATCTTGGCACCTGGGCTATACCTTGGACAATCTAAAAGACAATGAGCAAGACCACTGCAGCATCAGTAGCCAATGGAAAGAGGGTCAGGACTGAAGAAATCAACAAGCCAACAATAACCATTTATCTGACTCCAAATATGCCAGCCACATAATCACTGGGAATTGGAACCAGGAATGAGTCATAGTTGAGGGAGCTGAGGATAATTCCCTGGATTTCAGGAATCCAATCATATGCAGAGGCCTAAACAACAAGGAGACTGTCACCGTGGTTGGTTAGAGAGTTGACAGCTTTTATTGTCAGGACTTAAGAGGCTAAAAGAACAATTGTCATTTTTTTTAATCCTTTTTCCAAATCTTCCAATATATCAATTTCATTTTTTAAAAACCCTAAATATATGTCAAGTACATACTTTCTCCTTGCCCTGACACAATGAATTGACCAATTTAAATATAAAAGAGCCTGCAAAGAAAAGAAACCCTATAAAGAAGAAAGCATCATAGGCCAGATAATAGCAAAAAATAATGGAAGGAAGAAAGAGAAAGCAGATATTAATCTGTGAAAGATATTTTGTGGTGATTGTTATCATTGCAGCAGAAGAATTTATATTCACCAAATGGTAAAATTTGCTTCCTTCAATCTAACTTAGTCCTTGGTTACACTCATAGATACTGATCAGGGACATAATTGCCTTAGGTAGTTGTTAGTTTTTGTGCCATTCCTGGCTCATATTGTACTCTCAATAAATATTTACTGGAAAACAAAACTCACTATTTAACAAAATAACCATTTTAATGAAACCATTTGAGTCAAAGAGTCCAGAGTCACATAAAACTTATCAGTGTCTTAAATTCCTTCAGAGTTTCATTCCAGTAGTCCTGGGTACCAGTCTAGAAGGCCATTCTGTAGAGGCATCAATCAGGCTGGCTCGGTGGGGGGGGCAGTATTGTTCAATGCAGCGGGGATGGTAATACTCAAGTTCATATGTTGAGTGTGGGTCAAAAAATTACAGAGCTGCAAGATGAGGGCCAGCCCATGTCAGACCGAACAAAAGCCTGAAAGGAGGACACAAAAAAGTCATAACGAGGATGATTTTCTCCTACCCTTTCTAAGTCTAGAAGTCTAAAGAGAGAGAAGATTGGTGCCTGTCTGTGATGTAGAAATACAAGGAAAGCAGACTTTGGTGTGTGGTTGGCATGTGTCCCCTGGGAAGAAATGGGGAAAGTAGCTCCCTCAGAAGCATTGTTCAAGCACAGACTTGAAGAATGTGTGAAGTTGGTCACAACAAACATTAGGGAAGAGTTCTTCAGGAAGGGCTCTGGAATGAGCCACTGAGAATGGGAATAGAAAGAAATGGATTTGGAAAAATAATTGCCTGCGAGCAGTGACTGATTAAATATGGATCGTGAGAGAAAGAAAAATTTTGGAAATGAATTCTAGGTGCCTTGCTTGGGTAGCTTGGGTAGCTCAGGTGCATTTTATAACCAGGGAACATGGAAGGAAGATTTATTTGTTTGGAGTCTGGGAGAGATGAAACTTGAAAGTCTACAACACAGAAGTTTTAAAATTTCATCTGAATAATTTAGTCAATGCTTATATAAAATTTGCCAGTGTTTCATAGTAGCTTGGGGCTATCCCTATGGTTTAGTCCAAACACATTGATTTGACAACAGCAGGAAGTGTTCATTGCCTCTCTTTGTAGAGACATTGCAGAGGTACTATGTGATGCCTGCCTCAAGATATGTAGGTGCCCTGTTTCCTGTCTCCCTAAATGGATCAAATGCTCTCAGACTGGATAGCATGGTTTCCTTTTGTGTAGTGATTCTCTTCCCAAGTTCCAAGAATTGACAGACCTCAACTTTCAACTCTGGAGAGAATTTGGTCAAAACCACCCCACTCCTGCACTATCCACAGAAATCTACATTGGCATTTTGATCAATGTCATATTGATACACTGTTAAGAATGATTGTTCCATTTATACTATTGTAATCTCCTAGCCAAGAAGTCATGCCTACCCATGTATTCAAGTCTTTTACTCTTTCCCAAGATGGGATTTTATAGTTATCATCAGTTACGGTCCACCCAAGTTTTGAAAAGTGCCTTTTCTTGATCCTGTAACTGAGTTATTTTCCCATCATTTTTATGAGTACTCCCCTTGGGTTTTGAAAACATAAAGACACATCACATTATGTGCAAATAATATTAAAAACATAGTTGACTATATTTACTGTTTGCAACACTTGTTTACTTTTCTTGAATAATTTTATTAAATGACACTTTCAAAACAACATTAAATAAGAATGGTGGAAATGAGAACTTCTGCTATGTTGGAAATATTGGGAATGCTTTTGATATCATGCCATTAGGTATGCTGCTGGCTGTTTGTGTAACATGTACTCTAACTATGTACTCTAACTTTTCCAATTGTTAAATATTTTTATGTGAATATATGAGTTTTATCAAATATATTTGTTTTTTGTTTTTTAGGTTTTTTTTGAGTTGGAGTCTCACTCTGTCGCCCAGACTGGAGTGCAGTGGCACGCTCGCGGCCACCGCAGCCTCGACCTGCTGGGCTCCGGCAATCCTTCCGCCTCAGCCTTCCAAGTAGCTGGAACTATAGACGCGCGCTACCACACCCGGCTAATTTTTTGATTTATTGTAGATATGAGATCTCGCCAAGTTGCCCAGGCAGGTCTCGAACCCGTGGGCTCAGGCAATCCACTCACCTCGGCCTCCCAAGGCTTGGGATTACAGGCTGAGCCACCAAACTCGGCTTATCAAATATATTTTAATGCGGGAATCAGATATCCGGATTCCAGTCCTGGATGCTCTATTTACAGCTGTGTGTTCTGGGGTCAGGAACTGAGCTCTCTGTGGTCCTCAAATGTTGTTTGTAAAACAAGATTAATAATAGAGCCATTTCAAGGCCTGGCAATAAAAATAAAATAAATTCATGTAAGTTTATTATAATTAATATTACTAACAGCCATCTATCCTTGCATTCTTGGGATGATCTTTTCTTATTCTTAATAGGTTATTTTTATTGAGAAAACATTTTATTTTGCTAATATTTTAGCTAGAATTTTGGTTGGCATATATACTTCAGTGTAATTTGTAGTATATTTATGTATGTGTGCTATTTATTCTGCACTAGCTTTCTTAAGAAAAAGAGAGTTAAAAACTTTCTGCTAGCCAGGCATGGTGGCTCACACCTATAATTCTAGCATTTTGGAAGGCTGAGGTGAAAGATTGCCTGAGCCCACGGGTTCGAGACCAGCGTGGACAACTTGGTGAGACCTCATCTCTACAATAAATTAAAAAAAAAAATCAGCCAGGCGTATTGGTGCTTGCCTGTAATTCCAGCTGCTTGGAAGGCTGAGGCAGGAGGATCACCTGAACTCAGAGGGTTGAGATTGTGGTGGCCGTGAGCGTGCCACTGCATTCCAGACTGGGTGACAGATTGAAACTTCAACTCAGAAAAGCATTCTATAATCTGACATATTTTAGGTACAGAGTCATTTTCTTTTTTTCTTAATAAACTTTTAATTTTGGAATAGTTTTAGATTTATAGAATTAAGTTCCTTATATTTCCCATGAAATCTCCACTATTATTAACATCTAATGTTATAGTGCATTTGTTTTAATTAATACATCTACATTGATATGTTATGATCAAAATCTATACTTTATTCAGATTTCTTAGAGTTTTGTTGTGTTTTGTTTTGCTTTTCATTTTTGTTTTTTTGAGTCAGAGTCTCACTCTGTCACCCTGGCTGGAGTGCAGTGGCACACTCATGACCAATGCAGCCTTCATCTGCTGGACTCAGGCAATCCTTCTGCCTCAGCCTTCCAAGTAGCTGGAACCACAGGCATATGCCACCAGGTCTGACTGATTTTTTGATTTATTGTAGAGACGAGGTCTCACCATGTTGCTCAGATGGGTCTGGAACCCCTGAGCTCAGGTAATCCTCTCACCTCCACCTCCCAAAGTGCTGAGATTACATGCATGAGCCACCGTGCCTGGCTAGATTTCTTAGTTTTTTACCCGATTTTTTTTTTAATGTTCCAGAATCCCATATAGAGAACTACATTATGTGTACTTGTCATATCTCCTTGGGATCTTCTTGGCTATGACACTTTCTTAGACTTTCCTTGTTTTTAATAAATTTGATAATCTTGTAGTGTTCCAGTAAAATATTTTGAGGCATGATCCTTAATTAAGATTTGTCAGATATTTTTCTCATGATTAAACAGGCAGTATGTGTTTTTGACAGGAAGACCATAGAGGTAAACTGCCATTCTGCTCATATCAGATTAAGGTGACATGCTATAAACATGCCTTCTCACCATTGATGTTGACCTTGATTCCCTGGATGGCTTAGTGTTTGTCAGGTTTCTCCACTTTGAAATTACTGTTTCCTTTCTTCTTTTACTTTCAGGAGTTTTTGTTTTTGTTTGATATGAATTCATACATACAGATGTACTCTGTGGTATGGTGTTGTGGTTTATGACTGTAATCCCAACACTTTGGGAGGTGGAGGTGGGAGGATTGCTTGAGCCCAGGAGTTTGAGACCAGCCTAGGAAACAGAGCAAAACCTAGTCTCTAAAAAAATTTTTAAAAATTATCTAGCCATGGTGGCATGCACCTGTAGTCCCAGCTACTTGGGAGACTGAAGTGGAAGGATCTACCTGAACCCATGAGGTTGAGGCTGTAGTGAGCAGTGATTGTGCCATGGCACTCCAGCGTGGGTGACAGAGTGAGAATCCCAACTAAAAAAATAAAAACGTATATTTAAATTTAAAAAGTGTACTCTGGAAGAAGTCACACACAGCAGTCCACAAGATGAATAAACATTTTCTACTTAAAAATCTCACATAATTATTCTAGTGAAACTACCAGTACATAATTTATTTGCCTGTTCTATTACATTTCTACTTTTAGCATTTATAAAAACTGGCAGATTTATTCCATAGGGGGTCCATTTTCAAGAAGTTAAAGGTGAAGGCGGGGAAGATTTCTTCCCCTTTTTCTTTCTCCCTCATCTTATTTTCTCTAGGGGGTAAAAAAAAAAAAAAATGACCTGGATCCCAAAACCTACCCAAATAAAAAAACCAAAAAAACAAGTTCCAAAAAGTTACATTATCTTAATTTCTCATAGGAAAAGGGAAGGAACCAGAGGGAAGGGGTATCTCTAGGGGTGGGAAAATTGTGGTAGGCGCTTCCAGCCTGGTAGGACATCCCCCTCTTAAAGAGCTGCCCCAATCGGGCAAGCCTGGGACTATAACATTTAAAAAAGCCCACACCTCATTTTTTTCCAAATCAAAGAAAAACAAATATTTTAAAATTCAAAATCAAAGTTAAAAAAAATTTTTCCTTCCCGGGGGGAAGGAAAATTTTCTTTTTAACTTTGATTTTGCAAAA